CGTCGAATCTGAATCACTCAAAAAAAACACGGGGTGCTTAACTTTTTTCCAGGTGTATATATTTTGAAATGACAAATCTTTTGATTTGCATCTAACTATGACAGAGTTAATTCCTTAAACTGGAATTGAGATTCTTAATACCTACAGTTAACAAATCATAGTCTTAGTTTTAGGTTATGTTGATCTCTGTTAATCTGAATGTTACATGTTTTTGATCTTAGTGAGATTAAAAAATTTAGTTCCAATAAGGTACATTACCTTCTCTCACATAAATAGCTATTCTCATTCAGTGCTGCCATCTATATGCAAAAAACATTTACACATGTCACAAGCATACTATCTCCCTTACAATGCATCTCTCATGCACATCATCATGTGCCGACCCTCCATCAATAAGAGTGCAACATACTCTCATGATGCATGTGGCTCCCTCTGTTCAATTCTACCAAACTCTCACTTCTCGTTTGGCAGTAGTCGTGTTCAGACTTTTTTGTGTGAATCGTTATTTTAGTAACTTAATTGCTGATATGGGATTTTTTCATTATTATTTTTTTCTGTACATTGAAGAAATCTTTTAATTTTACTTAATTTCCCAGTCTTTAATTAATTTTTTTCTCACACTTGCATATTTTTATCAAACACTTTTGTTTGATTTATGTATTTCTACAATGAATTCTGAGGTTCTTGTTCCCATTTTGGGCGTTATACCTCTAGTACTATTTCTCTGCTATTATCCATCATGAGATTGATCATTATATGGGCAAACCACTAATCCTCCTGATAAAGCTGAACCTTTTCGGGTTGATGGAGATTTGATAGCTTTTTGTTTTTTTTAACACCACTGGATTTTGCTTTTTTTTTCCTACCCCTCCTACTGAATCAGCTGGGCTTAATATGGCATTTTTCTACATGATTTCTCAGGTATGTTATGTTTTATCCAATTCCCTATTTTCTAAGATTCCTTACTACCTCCATGTTGGCTTGTTTGTTGTCTTTGGCTTTTGTATAGTGTTACACATGTGGTTTCACTGTAGTTGGGATTTTTGCGATGTTACATTGTCCCAGGTACTTTTGCTGCCTCTTTCTTTTTGAGATTTCTATATTTTTCTTTGGTGATATGTTTTTGATCATGTATCTGTGACTTTGGAATCTCATGTGCATCAACACTTAACTCTTTCCTCTTTGGTTGCACGTTTGCCACAGTTG